TCTTGGTCCTGTGAATCATTAAACGTTGGTATTTCTGAATGAGAGAAGCCTGGGTAATGATTTGACTCATCATCACCATGGCCTGCTGGCTTTTTAATATTTGGTGTGATTTTCTGCACTATTGCCTCTAGTTTCAAACCTCGTCCTTTCCTGGGAGGCAAAACCTTGGCATTACCGCTTGATGGAGATAAAGGTTGTGAATAGGTATTCTCTCCGGGCAGAGGGGAGGAGAGCCTGGGACATGGGATATCTGAACTGGATGAGTCATCTTCATTGTGATGGCTAGACTCAGACTGGGCCCCAGGAGAGTGATGTGAATTTGTGGCAGCCCTCTGCTGAGACGCATCCTGGAGTTGCCTTTTGGCAGGAATAGGAGAGATAAAAGAACGAACTCTCCTTCTCAATATTAGTGGATTAGTGTCTCCAGAACCTCCGGCTTTAGTCTGACGCTGCACCTGTGGCAGAGTGGAGTTCATGTCAGCAGGAGGCTTAGCGGAGCTGGATGGAGGAGGTGGGCCGGGATGCTTGGTTTCTTCTGCGGCTCCTCGGGACACCTCGGGTTCAGCAGCGTTTTGGCCATGAGTCATTTGCGGAGGAGCGGGTCCGAGTGAAGTCACTGGAGCAGGAGGAGGTGGAGGAGGAGGAGGCGGCGGCGGAGGAGGCGGCTGTGTCCTGTAGTAGGAGTCTCCCTCTATCATTCTCGGGCCTTCTCTTCCAGGGTGTGCAGACTCCCACATTTTCATGTCGAAGTAAGCGCTTTGATGATGGAGTGAAGGTTTGGTTGCGTGCTGTTCACCGGGCATGTCAGCCTGGGAGATCATCCTCTGCCTCTGCTCCGATTGGCCGACCTTATGTCTTCCTGGAGACGAACCAGGCTGCATCATCATCTCCTTAGACGGCCTGTTCAACGCTTTTACCCAGTCACTCATGTCGTGCGGGTGATGAGGGAGGCCACGAGGGTGAGGATACATTTGAAGCTTATTCGAGGTTTGAGCCTGGGGGGATAAGCTGTGGTACGGATGGTGGGGGGGGAAATGCGGGTTGCTGCGTGGCATTATATTTCCTTCTCTTGTATCTCCATATCGATATCCAGGAAAGCTGCTGCTGCTGCCAGTTGATAAATCAACACCATGAAGATAGGACGGATGCCTTGAGGGTGAAGATAGAGGATTAGAGCTCATAGGGTGAGAAGACAAGGGGGAAATATCTACATTACCTCGCCTGTAGGGGTCAGCATTCATTACAACAGATGAATGAACAGACTTGGGATGATACTCTATATCTGCCTCATTAGCTCCGCCACTCCCGTGATGATCAGTTTGTAAATTTACGGCGTCTGGGCCAGCCTCTTTTGATGCCGTTTCCATTTTCACCACTTGTTTCTCTCCCGTATCCTTTTTACTCAGATCGTTGGCGGCTGCTGGAGAGGAAAATGGCTGTTGAATCACAGAGGCTCCACTCTGACTTTTCTCCCGCTCCCTCTCTCTGTCACTTTCCCTGTCCCTCTCTGGTGTGCTGCGTCGGTTTGGCGACACATCACAGATGACAGAGCGCCGCTCTGATGGGGCTAATATGGAGCCTGATGATTTTTGAGACTCAGTTTGACCAATGCTGCCTGTTAGGGGCTCTGGCTCTTGCAAAAGGAGCTCCTGCACAGCAGAGGATGGAGTGGACACATTAGAAAACACTTTTCTCTGTGGCAGAGAATAGTCAGCTAAGTTTATATGTTTGGGTGGGGGTTGCTGAGACTCTGTAGCTTGTGGTGCATGACTCTGAGACACACCCACTTCAGGTTTTTCAGCGTTTTGCAAACTCTTAGCATTGGACACTTCTGACTTCACAGAGGACTGAGGATCCATGGTGAAATCAGGCTCACCTCCATGCCTCAGGTTTGGATGTGAGGGCTTTCCAGAGCTGCCCACTTGAGCAGAAAGAGCCGAAGCCTCAGTTCCTCCACTCTGGATTCTCATATTATCAGCCATGCCATACGGGAGTCTAGTTTGAAACTGTTGTTGAACTTGGAGATGGGCAGGAAATGCCTGCTCTGGTCTGCCATAACGTCTATCTAAATTGTAACCTTGAAGAACCTCTTGTAAAAGGCTGGGAAATTGCTGCATTTGTGAATTATCCTCATGAACTTTCCCTCCTGCTCCTTGCCCTCTCTTCACCAAGCCCTCTGCTACAGAACCACCATCTTTTGGATGCACGGGGCCATAACCAGCTTGTGATGGTTGGTATCCTAAGTATCTGGAATTTGATTCCATTACACTCGCAGCGCCAGCCCTCCCTCTCTTCTTTATTGACAAATCTGAGCCATATGTTGATTCTGGGTAGCCATATTTATGAGGACCAGACTGGGGAGGATTTTGAGGCCGTCCAAAGTTAGATTTCTGGTGATGGGAGGAATATAAAGTCAGATCTACTCCTTCCTCCCCATTATGACTGCTGGAATCTCTTAAGTAAGAGTGCGACTGTTTCTCTTCAATACAGTTGTCTTGGGGGTGCTTGCTTTTTTCAGTGTGACCTCCCTCAGATCGAGCTGAAACAATCACACCAACACTGCTGGCACTTTGCTGTTCCTCAGATGTGTGCTTTTCTTCCCTCTGGTTACTGTGTAATCTGGATGCAGTTTGCAACCTATTTTCTTTGTCCTGACCATTTTGTGTATTGACTTCTCCATCTCGTTGCATTTGGCTTCCGCCTTTCTCTGTTTTCTCAACTGCGCCTTCACTTTCATTTTTGATTACTTCATTTTTAATTTCTGCCGTCTTCCTGTGGCCACCCCTGTTGTCATTGTACGTTAAACCGGCCTCTGAGACGCAGTTCGGCTGGGGAGGAGGAATACTGGAGGAGGTGGACGAGGGGGATGAGGAAACTGGAGGTGTTGAATGTGAAACTGCGCCAGTGTCTGATGACTGACATCCAAAGGATGGAGATGATGACGAAGGAGCGTTAGCTTCGTTCGCTTTTGCTTCGGAAACACTCGGTTCTTTTGACGGTGAATCTGAGCTGATGGTTTTGATATTTGATGCTTGTCCAGTCTGTGGTTGGTTTTGACTCGGAGGTGGAGGGTGATAGCCAGTTGTTTCAGATCCACTGCTTGCACCGCTCATCTGTCTCACCCTCCCGTGTTCCCCCTCAGAAAACTGTTCCTCGCGCTCCACCTTGGTCCCTGATGAGCCTCCAACTGACATCACTGAGGAGTCCTCATCAGCACCAGCGTCTAAGCTGGCGCCGTCACCACTCCCCACTGCACTTCCATCTTTGACTGTACTAGTACTTGAGGCTGCGCTTGCATTTCGACTCCTTGGCTGTGACGGGGGCACGCTGTGTGTTGCCTGTTGCATCTGCCCGCCATCTTTCTTCTTCTGTGAAAGCACTGTGTCAGTGAGGAGCATGTGCTGAACTGTGTTTGGTAAATTGGCTACTTGTGAGCTCAAGGCATTAAGACTATTCAGGCCTGCATCCTGCATTTTATCAAGTGGAGACGATGAATAAACAGAGGAGCCTTCCTCTCGGGATCCGATCCCTGCGCTTAGACCCATTTTGTTGCGGCCTGTTGGAGGGAGACTGCTCCCTCCAGCTGAACTCATGCTGTGAGCTTTATGACTGCCACTGCTACCACAACTACTGATGCTGCTATTTGAGTTGGGCGTGGGACTTAACTGAGGCATAGTCTGCAGTAATCTGCCATGACCATGGCTGCTACGGGGGTTTGATGTAGGAGGATGTGAAGGACCATGACCTGAGGGGTTTCCATGTGCCTCTGAGACACCCATCAAAGGGGAAGGAGAGGAACTGCAGCTGGGGGAATGCACTGCTGAGGCAGCTGGAGAGGGGTTGGATATGGGGCTAAAGTTTTGGTTGATTTGGGTTTGCTGAGCATTGGGATGCATTGGGGATTTGGCTATTTCTTGAGATGCTGCTTGAGGTATACTGGGATTAGAGGTTTGATGATGTTTAGCATATACAGACCCTGGAGACGGGCCCTGGTGCTGCATCTTGAGAGAGTTGTCATAACCTACCCCTAAATTGTGCTGTGAGTTGCGGTGCTGTAGTGTGGCCTGCTTGTGAAGAGAAAGCGTCTGTGGGGAATATCCAGGATAATTTGAAGCATGGTAACTCTGTTGAACATTCTCCATTGGCCCCACATTGTTAGCAGCAACTGAACTGGAGACTGAGTTTGAACTGGAGTTGACACTGGGAGAACTGTTGACTTTGGGATCAAACCCAGTGCTAGCAGCCCCGTCGAGATATCTCTGCGGAGGGGGGCTGTACATTCCTGATGACCCCGTGGACGCTCCACCCTGTGGGGAGTAGTGTGGGTACTGTGGGGTCATTCTGTGCCCAGAGTGTGGATAGCTCCTATGCTGCTGTCCATGGTGGACAGCTGGGAAGGTCTGCCCATGCTGGCGGTGCTGCAACTGAGAACCTGGCACTGACTGCAATGCAGGGTTCTGACTCATATTGTACTGGTGAGTAGGAGAGAACGCTCCGGCACCAGCACCTCCACCTGAACCAGCACTGGAGCCATAGTCTACTGGATATGGTGACATGAGGCCAGATGATGGAGCAGAGCCAGATCCAGCATGCCTGTACTGGTGAGGTAAATGTCCATCAATATTAGGGTACCCAAAGCCTGCCCCGTAACCTATACCTCCCCTTCTGTGCCTGTCCTTCCCACCCATTGAAAAATAATAATCCATGGCGTCCTTCCTGTAAGGGTTGTTACTGTTGCCACTGTGAATGTTACCCTGTGTTGGTGGTGGCTCCACAGCTCCTCTGTTTCTAGCGCTGTAAGCAAGCATGTGGCTGGCTTGAGTGGGGTGGTGATGGCCTCTGTGCAGGCTCTGTTGTTGCATCCCTGCGTAATCATCCGTCATCCTTGGGGAGATCTGGGGATCTGCTGGCTGAGGGGGATACGGTGGCCCCCCTCCACCTCTCCCACTGAACCCATGGGGGAGAGAGGTGGGAGCCGGACTGTTAGAAAAATTCTGCATTGTTTCTTTCTTTTTTTTGTTTGTTTTTTTGTTTCCAAGTTTGGATCAAAAACGGAAATATCTGTCAGTGTCTATGTCAGGGAATGTTTCTGATCATAAACTGGAAGGCTTATGGCAGTAACCATAAATGACAAAGAGAGTCTATGGCCTGGCAGTAAAACAAGGAGATGCTTTTGAAATCCACCAAAGAGCTGAAGCAGAGGGAATATATACCGCAGATGCTTTTTGTAGCAGAAAGTTTTAGGGAGGTCGAACAAACAAGGATTTTTATCAATATATAAAAAGGCCAAATGGTAAAAAGCTTTCTTCTTCAATGTGATGGTTGTATTCAGTATAAAAAAAAAAAAAGAAGAGAAAAAAAAAAAAAAAAGGTTCACTTAATCACTGGGTCTTAAAAAATGGAATTTTTTAAAGATAAAAAAAAGAAAAAAAAAAGAAATACGTGATGAAGCAGGTTTGTACTGCAGAAAAATGCAAGATTAAAAGTGTGCAGTCATTCCCACGAAGCTGAAGTGGTTTGGCACTGTGCAGGCAATGATATCATGGACAACTGACACACCACCACGCGAGATGTTCAACCTCAAATGTCTTTACGTGTATACACTCCACTATAGTAACGGCTCAAGCAAGCAGAGCTACGTTAGGATTAAATTGAGTTATGATCCAACAGCATCCTGTGCAAAAAAAAAACAAAAACAAAAAATCTCAATACAACCATTGAGACTGTGTCCTGTCACAGCAATCCTTCAGTTCGCCAACATGTATGACCTGACTCACACCTGTGTGAGAAAAAACCTGCAGTAACAGAATCAACAGGTCTGAGCACAGACCCTCACTAAACACTCCCAAAGACAAACACTCCATTGATAGTCTCATCAACCCGTGGATGCAGAGTGTAATATTTTGTGAGATGTTCTGTTTCTTGGTCATTCCCTTTCAAATACTATTTTCTTTTTACTTTTTTTTTTTGCTACTGCATGCATTCATTTGGACTGAAGAGGTCTTTGGTCCCTGTTTATTGTTCGTTCTTTCCTTGACTCTGTGTTCAGATTCTTCTTGGTGCTCTCCTGTGTCTTCAGCATGTAGCCGCCTTACCTTTGTTTTTCTCTCTCAACCATCATTTAATTCTACCTAGTTCCATGGCAACAATTTTTCCACAAGGAGGGTAATCCATTTATTCCACTTAAGTTCAGTCAATTCAAGCTCCGTTTTTCTGTTTCTCCTCAGTATTTCCATGCGGATAAGTTCATTTTCCAGGAGTTGCTGACCAGAAGCCTTCACAACTCTGCAAATACAAAAGATGAATCGAAAAAGTTAGCATGCAAAAATTGTTTGGTTATTACATACATTTGTTTACCACACCCTGTGCTAAAGCCCTATTGCTGAAATGAAATAACTATCAAGAGAAATAAACTGTGGTCACACATTAATACTAAAAATGCATTTTGGACTAATTCCATTTTTAAGATTATTTTTAATTCATCACTTTAATTTAAACAAGTCACTGGTAAATGTGACATATTGACCAATGCAGGTTCAAAATAAATGAAAAATGATTTGAGCCTTTATTTAGGCATTCTGTCACTTGGATTATTTCAAAATTAACTAAATTGACATTTAAAAAGAAAAAAGAAAACCCAGGATCCAAGATCACATTACATATTACATCAGCATTTACCATTATGTGGACTTATCTTCAGCAGTCCACCAGAATAATCACACAGGTCTATTACAAATATATTAACCAAACCAATAACGATGTTAACATTATGTCCTTGTTGGATGTACTACCCATTCAGCTCTGTACTTCACTACTTAAAAGGCTTGCTGGCCTCATCTCAATGCTCCTATTTTAATATGCACTGTGGGTACAGCCTTTACTGTGGTTGGAGCTTTTACAATACATGCCTAAGCTGTCTCTTCTGACTGATAACAAACAGGGTTGGTGGAGAGAGAAGTGGGGTAGCACCAGCATGCAATTAAAGCGACAAAGTAACATAGACAAGGTCACAAACACTTCTTCACATGTAAACAAACAGCTTTGTGGAGCCAGGTCAGGAGCAGTCCATCTCCCACCTCTTTACAACGGGACTAAACACCATTAACTTTAGGGTATTTAACTTGTTTTAATGGGCCTTAATTATTATGGGTGATACTTAAAGGGATGACGCCACCTTTATGGGGTCAGTACCCATAATTGCCATGTGTGACACAAGCCTCTATTGTCTACTTCACATACACTGTAAAATGGTTAATGGCCCTAATACAACTTTGGGTGACTTATCTCATAGTGTGAGCTCAATCTGAGCAGCACTGTTTATGATTACAACTATCAGTCTAACTGGTATTATTTATCATTAATCATGTGTTCATCAATCATCAGTGTGAATCTATTTTCACCAATGTAATTTAAGGTTTTTCACTTGTGGAGAAAGTGATGAGCAGTTGAAGAAGAACAGGGGGGAGGGGGCACAGGACCAGAGGGGGGCGGCGGAGAAGGAGAAGGAGGAGGGGGGGGGGGCTACAAAACAAACTGATCATTTCTTGTAAATCAAATAAGAGTCAGATAGACTGCATTATCAAACAGGTCCGTGGCTAAGTGTCACATTTAAGGGTCAAAGCCAGCGTACGTGTAAAACTGGTAAAGTTAGAAGGACACTATTCATCTCCAATCCGTCCATTAGCTCATATCTTGATTACTAATTAATCACAGCAGCTCACTGTGCACGACCGGGCAGCAGCATTCACAATACACACAACAGTGCAGCATTAATGAAAACTGACTCAATGCAGTCTGTCAGCAAGTCAATCAGTTGCATAGCTGCCTGACTGATAAGAGCATACGCAACGCTTTTTTCTTTGCAGATAATGACCAAACGCCAGCTCTGTTATGTTTGGTTTATCGTCTCAGGTTGTCATCAACACAACGCTGGCTTCTGTACAATAGCAATAGCAGCTACATTAGCCAACAGCAAGGTATACGCATTACAATTAGCTTTGTAGTGCTGCCTCTTTTAGCTTTTGTAAGGTTAGCGTTAGCCAAAATACCTCACATACTGCAAATTAAATATGCCAGCTAGTCGCATACGTTGGGAGCTAGCTAAGCTACAACCACCAGTTAGCATCTTAGCGAGCCAGCTAATTTGCGTTTATTACATTATAACGAGAATCTGAGGACGTGCACAAGCCGATAGTTACAGCAGGCTAAAGGCACAGGGCAGGCAAAGCAGCGTTTAGCTACAAAAGAGAGGTGATTAGGTGCAGATGTTTCCCCCCTCAGAAATTCACTTGGGCTCTGGGTAAATGGGGTAGCTAGCATATATAACGTATACTAGCAAGAGACCTGGTGTGGGTACTGCATCAGAAAATTATCATCACGCAGCCTGACATTTTCCTTGAATAAACAGAGCTAACGTTTGCCAGGGAGAGGCAAGTGAGTCAGAGACAGGCTAGCTAACATACTCTAAATGCATACCTGAAAACGTAGCAATACAAGGCCCCTCGAAGAGTGAAAGGCTGTTTTGTGACAATCCCGCTGCTGTGGCAGGAAACCCCAGTCTAGAGTCGACTGCTCCGCCGCTTTTCCCTCACCCTTTTGAGTCCAGACAACCCCGACCAGCGGCGGCGAAGTCGGGGGGCCCGTCACGACACTCAGATCCCGGGCCTTTCTTCCGATTCCCCCTTTTTTCTTTTGTCCTCACCTCCAAAAATGATGAGAGCAGAGCACAATCGGGGTGCCTGTAGGTCCCGTAACCAGTGAGGTCCATACACCCCCGCCCCCTCCCCTCTTGTTCCCTCGCCTCTCTCTCCCTCTTTCACACACCGCTGAGGTGATTCCACCTATCTCGAACTAAAATTAAATGCATTCCTATCACACAAGGCTCCGCTAACACATGAAGATCTCAAACGTCAGTTTCCGTCACTAAATTGCATTTGCATGCCTTCATCAGTGGCTCGACCTATTCGTTTTCCTGTTAGACTACTGTTTTTTTTTTTTTTTCTTGCAACAGAAAGACCGCCTTGAAAATGCATACACACTCATATTCCTGCACCCCCTCCCTCATCTCTCTCCATCACATCCCTCCATCTCCCCTCCCTCTCTGAAGCTTTTTCTTTTTCACTGATTTTCACCTATTTACAACATAAAATATAAGATTATACTTATATTGCAAATGCAATTTTTTGAATGTCTGGGCTGAACGTTTTAACACAGCTCCTTTGTTCTTATTTCATCTCAAGTCAAAGTGAATTAGGGTAGATTAATGAAGGCACCAGGGTACAAAGGCAATATGGAGAGGAGACAGGATTGAATAGAATGGTAGGTTGTGTCTGAAATGAATAAGTCCATAAAAGATAAAAGACAATTTGTGAGCAAATAGGTTTGACTGCATTAGAGAAAGACTGCAGTGCAATGGATGAAGCTTAAGTTTATTGTGGTCTCTTAATGCTGAAATGCACACCCAGCACAGCTCTATTGTTTTTTGTTTTTATTTTCCGCAAAGAAAAGCCACTTAATATAATATCTAGCTATTGGTTAATGTTTGACACGACACTCTCAGAGCATCATCATGGCCAGAACAACAATGGAGGTGCTACAAACAGAATCCTTTTCCCATTAAATTTATTGTGTTGTCTCTGCCTGAGCTTATCTGCTCTCACACAGGGCCAGTGAGTGCAGTGCAGACCCACTCACACTCTCCTACCATCATAATGATGTGCCCTATGCCCCCCATCCATGGTGCCGCACTTTTAATGTGCTGCAGTGTGTCATGCATGCGCGCACACACACACACACACACACACATACACATACACATTCGATACAACATACATACATTCAGACATAGAAACCCCACATGCTCATACAAAGACATAACGCACGCAGAATCGTAAGAATCCAGCCTGAAACGCACAAACACATGCACAGCGCTCAAGATTAGCACACAAGCGTGCACATCTGTATGCAGTCACTCACTTAACCCGTCAATCAAAAGAGTAAA